GGAAGTGCCTACAATATGCTTAGGAAATCTGACACTATTCAAGGCCCAAAGCTGTATTCATGGCACCAAGTAACAGGGATTCAATTATACTTGCTCCTCCACAAACTATTTTCTAACCTTTTAGGTGTTGTCTCCCTTAAATGCCAAGTGAGTCAAAGAACTAAAAAAAAAAAAAAAAAGGTTATTTGCTCAGAAATTATGACCAGCACAGTACAATTCTATGGAAGGCAAAAGGGCAGGCAATGTCCTGAACTGCATACTGACTGAAGATGGGAGAAACTTAAATTACCTTCACTGTGTTTAAGCAAAAGTATAGGAGGCATTATCCTGGAACTGCATTGCTCCACCTCTTTCACACCAATATACATAATAAAAAGAAAATAAAAAATTTTCAAGGTCAAGTGACCAAATATCCATGACCAATTTATGATCAGCAATTCACTCTTGGGTTCAACTCAGATTTTACTCTCGCTAAGACAAAGGAAACAGCATGGCAGCCAGCCTTGAACACTTTTCTCATTGCCTCTGCTAAACAAAAGCACTGAATCTAGTTATATTTTCAGTAAGCCCAAGCAGGGTTCTTTGAAAGGCAAAATGATTAATAATTTAGTTTTTCTACACAAAAGAGAGAAGTACAGAATTTTTAACTGCACTGTGAAAAGTAAATTGAATGCTTCCTTCTCAGAGAATTTCAGCTCTAAGTATCCCTAGGTCAACAAACTCTTGTTGTTTTCAATATGTGCTGCTTTAAATGGCATGCATTAATGTGCATAAGTTGTAGGAAATGGCTATTGCAAGCAGGAGTTACTTAGTTGATGAATGGTTGGTCTTTATCACAAACAGTTTATTTCCGATTCCCATAAAATTACATAGTGCATCTAGACAGTTTGACACCAATCTATAAGCTGTTCCTTAAATCCCCTTCACTAATGAAGAAACAGAAGGTGGCAGACTTCTGTGTTTCTACTGTCTTTTGAATCTATAATCTGTAAGCCCACAAGTGTAACTTTCGTATGGAAAAAGACCCCAACATACAGAAACGAGATATAAAGATAGCATAGCAGGGAATAGTCAAAAATATTAGAGGAAAGTAATTTGAAAGAATCAGCAGATGCATGAAGAAAGGTAGTGCTCTTAAATGACACAAGCTCCTGTGAGATAAAAAATCCTCTCACAGGTTAGCAGTGGCTAAAGGAAAATAAAAAGCAAACAACCAGTTTTCATGCCTATAGAGTTAAGGAAGTAATCACTAGTTTGTGTTGCCTGTCAGCAGTATGCCCATGTTAGCAATGAAGAAGGGGGGATCTGCAGAGTCAAACAAGTGGAGCTGAAGATGTAGGGGCAACACGACAGGTGTTTTCTGGGTAGAGAGATGTACTATATTTTGGCTGCAGTTCGGTCCAAAGGGCAGACCACCTGCTATGGGTTACAGTTCACCCTCTCATTTAGTCTTATCCAAGGGAAATACAGTTTGTGCGTCCGGGGTTTGCTCTGCGATATGGCCCAAAGAGCTGTAAGTGAGGGTCCAAAGTGATTCAACAAAAAACGATTGTAGATGCACAGACTAATGAATTAAAAACTTTGAAAAGTGAGATGGTGAAGTCTGCTGTAATAATAATCACCAAAAAAAAATCTTCATGATTGCTAACTGTAAAATTGGTAGGCTGCTGAGAGCTCAAGCTCTTGAATGAGAAGTTAATGAAATCAGTGTTTGATAAGCAACCTCACACTTCATGCACGTAGAGAAACACCACCCACACACACACCCAGCACCCTCCCCTACAGAGCACACAGATGGACCCTAAACAAAGTATTTGCACTCAGGAAAGACATCACGTATCCTTCTCTGAAAACATCAGCTCACTGTTCACTGATAGTCAAACACCACACAAAAAGCTAGGAAGCATTAGAACAGGACTACAGAACCAGAACCTCTATGCAGATATCTGATTCTTTTTGGAACTTATCTGGTATTTTTACTGCATTTCTGGTCAGCCCATCTCCAAAAGGTACGGTGGATCTGGAAAAGGTGTAAGACTGGCAAGCTAACCAAAACTGGGAAGACTTTGCTCTCACTAAGGCCAAAACTGACTAATGTTCAAGCTGTGAAGAACCAACAGGAGCACAGGCACACCCAAAACCAAAAATCTCACGAAGAAGGTGTATATATGAGATTATCACTAGGTATGTTGGATACCGCCAGAAGCAGAGATACCTTCTTTTAAATGTTTTAAGGAACAAAACAGTACTTCTTGAAGTGGCACAAAGAAACTTTGGAACTTCTTGTGGTAAGGTAATGCGAAGGCCAAACATTCAAATTTGATAGGTCTATAAAGAGGTGTTAAACATAATAGATGTGAGTGCAGTTTTCCAATTCAGGAAATTCCACCAATCCAAAGTCTGGAGTGTATTCCAGAAGACAGCTCACCCTCTACTGGTCCAAACTTTGATGGTCCTCCTGAATTTATACTTTAGTCCATTTTTTGGGAGGATGAGTAATCAGGTGCCTTATATGATCCAGTACTGCTACAGCCATGTGATCCTACCTGAATGCCTTTGCATAGGTATCACTCACATAACGTTTTAACAGACTTTTTTCCCCTTCTGTTTTCAAGACAAAAGGATTAAAAAAGAGCAGAATGGTTTGAAGTTTCTTAGATGGTATCAAATGTTCGTACTGGAAAAAAAGGTCAATATCAGCTGTTTCTTCCATTATATGTGGGTTGGATTTATTGTCCTAATGTGGTTGTAATGAAAAAAAAAAAAAAAAAGGGTGGGCAGGGATTAGGGATGGAAGGGAGGAAATAACAAAGATAGGAAAATGAGGTCCTAAAATGTCGTAAGATCCTAAAGTGTTCAAAGGATCCCTGAAAAAATAACTGCTTATTTCTGAAACTCACCTTTAGCTTTTTGGACTATTGCTTATAAAAAGCATGGACGAAGAGGGCAGTGTCTGGGTGAAGCAAATATTTTTCAGAACTCTGGTTGTATAGAATTCCTCCCTAGTTTTCTAAACTGCACAAAGAACATAACTGTGTGCTAGGCAAAAGAAAAAAAAACCAAAAACCAACAACTTAATGGACGGTCGGAAAGTAAGGTTCCTATTTCAGTTGTTGTTCTGGAAAAGACTGTGGTACATCACCTGATGTCCCAGCCTTGTTTGAGTCTAGTTTATTTTAGAATTATGGTGATTGGAAAAGGGGGAATTTCACCAGAGTGCTGAAAAACCATTGGCAAAAGAAAAAGACGGTTAAGAAGTATTTACAGGAACTTCTCAGGCTGTAAAATGTTGTAGCTCACACGTACTGACTTTTTAGTAAACAATTCATGTAGCTTTTCATTTATAACATCTACTGTGACTGCAGGGAACACAGAATTCTGCAAAACAATTCTAGGAAAGTCTGCTAAATCTCGGTGCTTTCAGAAATTAAACGGGAGTAACATTCTCATAATCTTATCAACCTCCAATATATTTTCATTTTTTGAAATAAAGTTGCTAATATAAGGGCTTCTTTTCTACATGTTCCCTTTTCCCTCCTCCACTGCAAGCTCAGACATTAAATTTTTGGAAAATAATAAGCAATACCAGGGGGAGGGGGGGGAAGTGAAATCATCATTATCAACTGATGCATCCAAACGTAGGACATTTTAAAAACATTAATGATGTTTAATGCACTGAAATAATAAGAAGCAAATGCAGGGAAAAAAACCCAGAAATTCACATTAAGCTACTCATAAGTCTAAACAACTAGTGAAACTCAAAACTAAAAATAATTTGCCACCTTATTTTTCTATAGCAGTGATAAAATAAGGCATGGAGTTTTCTAGAGCTTTTTAGACAAGTTAAAATAATTCACTGTGGCTGAAGAAGAAACTGATGATACAATTTTATCATGGATAAAAAATCAGTATGTCTCTGTGTTACTAAATGTGCTCTGCAATTGTTTGCAGTTACATCTCAAGACGAAAACCAAACTGCATACAAATACAGAGAACACAATGAGAAAATAGTTGAGCTCACTCTTAAAATTGTTCATCTGTTCACATACAGAGAAATATTAAGAGCAAATGAGTGTGTTATTTAACTTGCCTACATGGAGTGAAGAAATAATCTAACACTATGCACATTAAATTACTTCCAACAGCTAAACTCTTCATTTGTCTCTTTACTGGAGGACACTGAAAGTCTGTTTATAGACTTCAGCCAAAGATTTTGCACCTAGCTACAGCTTCAACTCAGACTGCAGTGGACCTTTCCTACAAACAAGGTGAGAATGCTCATTGTCCTGGAAGAGGGAAAACTTCAAAGGGTAATGGATACTTTAGCGATTTTTTTTTTTTTTAAGTTTATGGGAATGAGTTTACCAAGGCTGATTTCTTCCCACATTAATGCTCAATTAATGCTCATTTCTGTGCTTGTTGCAGTTGCTTTCTAGCTATGAAAAACCTAAGTTATTTCTCAAAAACTGTTTTACTGGATTCACATCCAGAAAATAGTTTTGTCTCCCACAATGGTGCTTTATAAAGATGTATGAGTGATGACTGGATTAAATCCAGAGTCTATAAAAAGTCTGAGAAGAATGTGTCGGAAATAAACTAGCATTAAACCTTCAGCAGCCATCTTTAAATTGCCTACAGATGCAAATATCTATTTTATTTCTAAATCCCAAAGGTTAACTCTTGCTGCACAAACTGGCTGATTACACACATGACCCACTCTGATGCTCTGGATGAATATTCTGGAGATGTATTTTCAAGTGTCTAAATATCTGTATAAATCTTGCCTTTAAATGTCTAAAATGGCATAACCGTCACTTATGCCATTCATTAACTTTAACTCTCCCAGTTCTTGTGGGCTTTTGTTGTTGTTGGGTTTGTTTGATTTTTTTTTAAATATTCCTCTAGCTTTAGTTTGTTGTGCTTCTAAACACAGAAACCAAAAACAAGACAAGTCCTTGGAAGGAGAGGGGTGGATGACAGGCAGTAAGAGTCTCACATACCTCTTGTTGTGCATACCTTTGAACACTTCATTGAGAAGGTTTCCTTAGGAGGATAAAACTCTGGTTGTGGGTCAAAATACTCCCGTGCTGCTCCTGAGGTTTTAGAATAATGGTCTGAGCAAACAGTAGAAGTTCTTGAGTGCTGGCCACCTCGAATGTCTTCTGTTGATCTACAAGGGAGAAAATAACTAATGTTTGTTAATTAAATCATACTCTCTCCTGAACATTAGAACATGAGAAACCATCCTCTTAGTGGAAGCAGCTAGCTTGCTTCACAGGCATCTGATCTTTTTTCTTGCCTGTTTTGAAAGCAACTATCCCAAATACTTGCATAAATCCACGTTCACAAGTATATTTGCACTCTATGGCCCTTAGTTTGGAAAAATTATGTCCTCACTGGATAGGCTGGCCAAACTGTTTAGGTCACTAGCAAAAGGTAGGCAGGAGGAACAACAGCTTTTTCATGAAAAACAAATGTTTTTAACTAGTCCATAGCAGCCCAGGTAATAAGTTCGTACTTCCATCTACTGTGTCCCACAAGGATGCCTTTTAAAAGAATAAAAGCTATTAAAAGAAACAGATAAAGATTTTAAATTGGGGAAAAAATAGCCTACTCAAAGTTCTTCAGGTCTTTGAAGATATTTGAGAAGGAATCTAAAAGCAAACCCCAAAAAACCAATTTCTCACGTCTCTAAGTAGTCTCTTCATTTATATACTTCAAAATGATCCATTTTGCTGCAATGACATTCAGCTCCACATCTGAAATCTAATGTTTTTTAAGGTTGGTGAGATTTAGAATATTCTGTAGGAAAAGTGCAATTTGCCCTCCTTAACGGAGTTAAAAACTCAAGTTAAAAGAAACATTGGCTGTAAATGTTTTAGTATTTGGTCTAATCAAAATTTTCCCCCTCATTTGAAGGAGAATTGGAGCCTCTCTTTCTCAAAGTACAGCTGGGATGAGTTTGTTATTAAAGGGTATTTTAAGCCTCATTCAGCATTATCATTTTTAAAAGTCTTTTTTTCCTATTCAGTTTTTATCTGAATGTCTTATCCATAGATCAGCATTTTCAACTGTAGTTTTGTTTCCTAGTATCATTGCACTTTACTAAGGTTTATCTTCATCCAATTCCAGACTCAATGTTATCTCATTCATCCACATTAAATCATGTTCTTTGTAGTTTTTACATTTTAATTAAGACATTCAATAACAAGACCAATGCTAACATCTCCGTGTTTAGTTGCCAACAGCTCTATTTGGCTGAAACATTTCTGATTTTTCTGACCTTTGTCCTGTGTCTTGTGCAACTACCAAAGCATCCTGTGCAGCTGTGTCACATAAATTAAATAAGCTGTGTGATTTATAAGACTTCCAGTAACTTGAAAGCAATCCCTTTGGTACTTCTGATGCAGCTGCTTCTCTCTATTGTATCCTGCTACTTGCCAGAAAACAAAATAAACCAAAAAATCAAAACAAAAACTCCCTAATGTTCAGCAACAGAGCACAATTAGGAAAAAAAAATTCCTTTTTTTAGATTTTTTTTTTCCTCACTATGGCCTATTCTGGCCACCTTCGCTCCTGTTTTTCTTCAGGACTTTCTTGTTCTAGGTAATTCTCCTCAGCAATGAGAGGAAGGTTGCCCTAGGAGTTTCAAACATTTATTCATTTGGAAAGAGAAATATTCTGTCTAGAAAGTCTTGCTTATAAGGGATGAAAGCATTAGCCACCTAAATTTGCAGCTTCCACCAAACTCTTCCCATCTATTTCATTACAGCATCTGGAGGTCCTTTGCTCAATCAGCCAAAGTTTTCACCAAAATCCACAAGAACTCCATGAGAACCAAGCAGGGGAAATCCTGTTAGGTTAAGCCAAACCCCTTCAAAACAATTGATAAAAAAGTTTTTCAATTAGTTTTAGTGAGATCTGATGCCCCCCAGATTCTCAACTTGACTCTAAGAATTATCTTCATGGCTATTGCAGATCTGTAGATGCAGCTTCCCTTCCTCTAATCCCTGGTGGGTACAGGGATGGTCTGTGAGTCTTTACGGTCTGTCCACTAATTTTCAGTCTATGTATCCAGACATATGAAACTAACAGCAAAACCAAAAAATACAGAGAAGTGCTTTATTAGAAAGTGGTGGTTTAATTTATAGCTAGCCTTTTACACATTGCTTATAGTATGCTATACATAAAAAAAAAAAAAGGCCACACCAAAAACCCAACTGTTTTCTTTTTCCTTTTTACTTTCCACAGTGCTATTAATGTGTTACTGGCATTAGCTGATCTCACTTCTAACATGTTCAAGATAATTTAACTATATTGCCTGCCAATCTCAGATTTTCTAAGGACAGGCATTCAGCTTCTGAGGATGATTCTCAGGCTGGCCTTTGTTCCCATTTCTCTCCAATTTTTCATAATTTAAGAGACAGAAAAAAAATTCATTAGCTATTTTCATAATACAGTAGGTTTACCACTATCCAGAAGCTTTATACTCAGCCATAAGTACTTAAGTAGCCCTTCTAGTTACAGTGCTCTCCTCTGCTCCTTTTATTCTCATCCCATTTTTCTTGCTAAAATGCACATTATCAGGGAGTACTTCAGTATTTCAGCTTTTCAATAATCTTAATTATATTTATTTCTTCTCCCTGCTTGTCTTTTATCTTAAATTCCCTTACAATCATGTCCTCAGAGACTAAATGGAAGTGACGAAGACTTTACTGCCAAGGCCAATTTGCCAGTGCTGTTTAGGTCTACAGACCTCTTTCCTACAAATGCATCCATGGGTATGATCTAAAAGAAAAACAGCCTAAGCTCACATTTTGCATGCTGTAGGCTGGCCAGGCTAGAAGGAGAAGTGTAATATCCTACGAGTTTATTTGGCACTCGAAATCCATTAGTTGATCTGCTTACTGTGGTGATAGGGGCTGACCCACTATCAAGTGCTGCAAACAGCCTCAGACACTTAAACAAGTGCCATTTATTGACTGGGACTAGAGAAAGTAATTTTGTTTCAGATTAATAAGAATGTGTTCACAGCTGAACTAGAGCAACCCGAGAGCTCATGAAATCCCTGTGCTGGTCTCAGTCGTATAACATTCTCATTTAAGCAATGCATATTTGGCAAGCACCAGCTTGCTGTCACCTGCTGATCGGTCTCTTCAGGAACTGTAGTAAGACTCATGGTCAGACTTCACCTACTTGTGACCCAACTTGTTCCAGATAATCCCAAGAAATTCACATCTCTGCCCATGTCACGCAAACAAAAAGGTTAAATTTCTAAGTGTAAAATGTGTTCCAAATGTGGTGTGCTCATGCTTCATGATTTCAAGGCTGAGCAATATGAGGGTATTTAAAAGCAAACAGAGAAGGCAGACATTATAGACCTCCTGTGATATATTTCTTGAGGAAGATAAAGACATACCTTGCATTGTATTGGTATGGTTTTCTCGCTCTTCTGTCTTCTTTGTATCTGTCGGATCTATGGTTCTCATGGTGCCTGTATTGCTTATCTTGGTACCGACTCCCAGCAGGAGACATCTTGTTTCTCAGATGTATTCTTTCGTTCTAAAATAACTTCCTGAGTCAGAGAAATAAAACCGGTTCATTTTATAACTCCCCTTAAAGTTATTCATTGACCAGCACTCACTTCCATTTCAAGCTGATTCAAGAGTTAGTACAGACTTCCTTAAGAAGCGAAGGAAGTAAAACCCTTTAAACTACAAGGTAACTTAATTAAAGCAGGAAGGTTTTCTTTAAGTTTTCATCAAGTAAATGCAATGTTTCTATACTCAACATTTATTGCACTTCACTTATTTACTAGGTCTGCTCTGACTCTCCTGCCTTTGCTGCCAGGACAAGGCACGGTGTCCACCAAGAACATGAATCTTGGCTTGTCTAATGTTGACTCTTACTTAATATATTAAGCCCAGCGAGTACCGGTGCCTTGCATGAGCGTTCACATAGCTGCCACCAGTGGCAGGGCAAGACTGAAAGGGCAGGCTGTGACCTTTGTCCTGGGAGTTTCTAAGAGGAGAGCACCCATGGGTGTAAACAGAGTCAGTACAAAACGCTGCCTGTGATTTGCATAAACATTTGGTACGGGCAAAGCTGTGCTGGGCCAAAAATAAGGTGACCGAGAAAATACACCCTGATAATTTCGTGTTAAACATTATCAGGATGTTATTTCTTGCGTCTTTACCTTTTCAAGTTTGGTACAACTAAGCCCAAACCTGTAAACCAGGGAAATGCAGACTTCAAACATCGGAGCAATCTTTATTCTCATTTGCCTTCATCACAGCCCTCCAGCATCCCTGTAGAAATGCCTGCAGTCAATTTAACTTGGACTGATCAAGCTGAAAGCTCGCTTAATGACTTCCCTCCATCTCCTTAGGGTGTTAGGACGTAAATAAATATAAATATAATATTTTAAAAATATTAATTTTTATTTGTTTACATCTAACAGCGAAAGAGACAGCGCCTTCCCGGAGGCGGCTCAGCTCCCCTGCTCCGGGAAGAAGCCATTCCGCCTTTCCCCACGGGAAAGGTTCCCGGCGTCGGTCCCGCCGCCACAGCGCCACCGCAGCGAGCCGAGACCCCCTTCGCCCCCCAGGCTTGGCCCTGCCATGGGCGCTGCCCCGCCACAAATGGCGCACACCAGGCGCCTCCCGCCAGGGAAGGAGCCGTCCCCTTCGCCGCCCACCCGCCGCCTGCTCCTCTGGGAAGAGCCCGTCTCCCTCGGCACCCCGAGGGCCAAGGCCAGCGAACCCCCACCCCTCACCTGAGGGGAGCGCTGAGCTCCGTCCCGCCCAGCAGCAGCTCCCGGGAGCAGCCGGGACAGCCCTCCCCTGCCCGGCCGCGCTCCCACCTCCGCCCGCCGCACCTCCCTCCCGCGGCGGCCCGGCCCAGGTGCGGCCCTGCCCGCGCCCTCTTGGGAACGGCAGCCGCGGCGGCGATGAGGATCACAGAATCAGTTGTGTTGGAAAAGACCTCTGAGATCATCCAGTCCAAGCTATGACCCAACACCACCGTGTCAACTAGACCATGGCACCAAGTGCCACATCCAGTCTTTCCTTAAACACCTCCAGGGATGGTGACTCCACCACCTCCCTGGGCCCATTCCAATGTCTAATCACCCTTCATGTGAAGAAATTCTTCCTAATGTCCAAGGAAAACCTCCCTTGGCACAGTTTGGGACTATGTTTTGTTGTCCTCTTGCTAGTTACCTGAGAGAAGAGAATCCCTTCACCCCCTCCCATAAAATCCCTTTCTTTCCCAGGGCTTTCACTGCAGCACGCTTGGGGTACCAGCGCTTCTTGGATTTGGCCTTAAGATACATAACTGTTAGTGCAGTCCCATGCTAGAGCTAAATCCAAAATCCCCTGTAAGTAACATGCAGGTATCAGAGGAGCCGCTGCCCCTAAAATGAGGAGATACAAGAACTGAGTGCTCAAGGCATGTATTTTGAACTGTGGTAAGACTGTGATTCCCAGTTCTGTGTGAGCTGTGTTAACAGCTTCTTTTGCTGTTTACCATTCTCACCTTGCCTAGACCTCTTCTGCTGTTCCCGCCTTCACATGTACAACTCGGCTCATCTTCTCCTCTCTGTCTTGCACCAACCCTAGTGCTTGCTTGATCACATCATAATCCAATTCAACTTGCTCTCCAGCCAAAACCAATTTACTTTCTGCTGGTTTAGTGAGTTGAATTGGCTTTGTACTGCAATCAAATGTGCGCTGAAGCAAGGGCTTGGCAAAAGTCCATGTCCCACAGGGAAGAAACTGGGGAAGGGGTGGGGGAAGAGGGCTACCTCTCTTGGCAGCACTGAGTGGTGAACGTAACTGAAGCCCTAATGTGAAGTTGCAGTTTGAGGCACTACTACCCATCAGTTAGTCGCTACATCTTCTTGGTTTGTGGCTGTCATCTGGCTAGCAAAGGCATCCTAACAGCAGGAGTGGTTTACTGTTTCGTAGTTCTGTTTGTTCCTAATTCTTACTGTTTCTGTTTAAAGGTCATTTAGGCTAGTTTGGCAGATTTTATCCTGAAGATTAGGGTGCCAGCATGAATTCCATTCTCCTGTCTAGATGACAAACATTTGGGAAATAGATTCATCACTTGCACCCAGCAGAAGATATCTTCTCTTGATGGGGGGCATGAGGAATTACAGCTCCCTTCTGGTGGGCAGGTTTTATACAACCAGTCAAAAAATTGCAGGGAGACACCACTGGAAACAGACTTTTTTGGAGGGGCTGAAATACGGAAATATCCTTGACAGCCACTTTTTACAGTATCACTAGTAGTTTTGTTAAAGCATTTTTCTTTCTGGGCTGAAAAGGTTCAGTTGTAGCCATTTTGGTTTGATGGAAGATTGGATGGAACTGAAGGGATATGATTATGGACTGGGTAAAATTCCGTGAAGCTGATGAGCAAAGTAAGTGTTTAAAAAGTAGTTAAAGTCATTATGGAACCAAGTAGTTGAAATAACAGGGTCACAACCAACACAGAATTACATGGCGAGATCTACATAAAAAAACTTTATGACATAAGGGATTTTCCCTGGGAATTCATAAAGCAAACACAGGGTAGGTAGTGATTGCTGGAGTTGCCTATATATGACATAAGAATATGAAACAAGCCACAGAAAATGATGCTGATGAGGGAGAAACATCCAGAGGCAGTAGTAGGAATGTGTCTCTAAGGAGAAAATCATGAAAGGATTGGATATGGTACTGTCTAAATTTGAATGAGAACCACCCAGGAAAAAGATATGATTATTTGTTCTTACCTTATTGCAGGTAAAAGAATGCTGTATTGTATGTAAGCAGAAGGGTTTCTCTCAGAGATATACTTGATTCTGTCATCAATTTCTCCTTTAAATAGAAATAACTTTTGGGACTGAATTTTGACTAACTGATGAAGTCCAGGGGACTGATGTGCAGAAAATGAAGTGTGAATAATTTCTATACTTTTTTTTTTTCTGGTAATTTACTTGAGTAGGTCACATCTGTGTCTTGGATCAACACAGTCCTGGATACTTGCTCCAGTCTAACAAAACAGAGCAAAACAAAACAAAACCCTAAAAACCAATCTAGGTATAGGATACAAAGTGCTATAAATAGACCTCCAGGGACAGATTTCTCCAGCCAGGCAGGCAGGCAGGGCACCACTGGAGTCTGTTCGGTTTGACAGGAACACTAAGCTCCTGAGATCAGCAGGACTAAAATTAGCTTTGGAACACTTTTTTCTACCCTCGTGGTGTTGCTTTTATATGAAATCTGTCGCTTATTGTTATAAACAACACAAAAATATTTGGGTTGAAGGCTTTTATTTATTTTTTCTTTTATTTTCTTAAAGAGATTTTGAAATCCCTGGTCTTTGGAATGGGAGGTAAATTGAATTTGGGAACTAAGTAATTGGTTATGTGTTGGTCAAGTTTTTTCTTTCTTAGTGAGAAAAAAAAATCACAACACCAAAAATTGCTTCAGCCATTGCTTCAGCCAAAGAAGTGTAAACAGTCACAAATGATTTAATATTAATATTGTATCCTTGGTGTGTGTTATTACGAATCCTTATTTTTAAAAGCAATGGAACCAGTCCTAGACCTTCTTTTATTGTTGTCTTTGGTAATGTGTGAATTGTTTGGTTGGTAGTTATTTCTCTCACAAGGCTGAGTCCTTCCCAGCATCTTCCGAGCAATTGCCTAGTTCTGATTTAAAGATCTACAATAGCTTTCTGAAAGTGGGATTTTGTCTCACTGAATCTAGGCTCTGACTGGGGAATAGTCAACTTCTGGGACACATCCAAAGTAGGCTGAAGGCAGTGAGGATATTTCTGTTGAAGCCTTGAATCCTAAAAGGCTGTTATCTGTGGGCCCCTTTGTATTTATATCAGCTTGAAGTACAGAGCTGTAACACCAGCCTCGGTAATGCTCTGCATCACCACAGCTGTCAGTTTCATGCTGACTTTCCTCAAATTCTGCTGTTGCTGGCCACCCAAGCTGTATCTGAAACCTTATAATTCATTTTCTTTTTCCCTGTTCCTAAGTGGAGTTGTAGTAGGCTAAAGCCATTTTTCTCCTTCTAAAATGTTGAGCGAAACCAAACCGGCTTTTGAAATCTGAGAAACTGTTAGCATTAAAATTTCTCCCTCATTTCTTAAGAGTTCTTTCTCACAAATTCCATCTATGTCATGCTGGACTTGGGGGGAACCCCTGTCTGTGTAGATCTTGGAGACTATCTGCAACCCCATACTTAGTTTTCCATAATAATTTACCACTTAAATGCAAATGTAAAAGTACTTCAGGACTGAAATTTGCTTTCAGAGGACTTTTAGATCCTGTGTAGATCGTTGCAATCTCGACTGCTCCTAAATTGACACTGGTGGACCTTTGTCATGTGCCTCTGTCTTGACCATCCTGGAGTTCTCAGTAGTTCCAGGCTTTGGATTCTGTGTACCAGCTTGCAAATTGCATAAAATTTAAGCAAGAGTAGCTATCTGGGAACTCAGGCCACTTTTCTGTCTCTTGGCATGAATATATTGCATTCCATTTTATAATAGTAAAATATTTATGAAGTTTTATTAACATGGAGGGGCTCTTGCTCTTTCACAAGAGGTAGGAATTATGAGCAGCCTGCCTTCCCTCTGATTTAATCTACTCTCCAATCTAGTGTTTTTCTTTTCTCATCTGGACGTAGATAAAATCCAATAAGAGGGTATTTGTTTTGTGGTCAAAACTATCAGGGTTGAAGTCAACACTCCTGGCAGTCATTGGGAAGATTTCTTGTGCATAGAAAATTTATGAACGCACGAAGATGCTGGGTTCAGTAATCTGGCCTTAAAAGGTATTCAAACATTTTCTTCCTGATCAAAACACATAATCCTGTGCAGCTCTAAGCTATTTACATCTGGTCGGTCTGTCTGGAGCTTTACATTGGCAATTATGTGCATTAAGAAGGGAAAAGAGGCATTAAATTTAGGTGTCCAGTTCATGCAAACAATTTGTCACACATTCTTTTGACCTCCAGAAAAAGAAATGCAACAGTGGCATCCTGTGGCCCTAGCAGTTCATGGCAGGTGGGTTTGGTTAAGGGCAGAATTTGCCACCGAGGTCTTCCCGCACCGAGTGGGAAACAGATCAAGTTATTTCTAAGTTAGTTTACAGAAGAAGCCCACAGTATTTCAACTCAGTGCACATTTAAAATCTACTCTTCAACCGGGGTTTTCCACAAATTTATCTTATTCTGCTGCTTATTTTTCTACCAAACACCTTGGTGTTTGGGACAAAGGGGATGACTTCAGTTACCCACCAAGGAGACAGGACCTCTGCATTGCTGTCTTTGTGCTGATGAACATTTACTTTGAAAATAGGAATAGAGGAGAGGTTGCAAGCATCCTGTTTCTAATTAACCCACAGTTAAGTGCAGCATACTTGGTCTAAAAATGAGTGTTTCAGGGAAGTCTGATGAAGAGAAAACTAATAAGAACTGTTTTCCCTTGCACCTACATCATACCCGAGCGCTCCCTCCCACACACTGTATGTGGGTCTCTTGAGTTTTTCAAAGTCCTGGCCTTAACTTGTTTGACTTGGACAGGCTGTGGTTTGCTTACCTCCTCACCAGCAGATATTGGCAGCCGTGACCACCAGGCTCTCTACAAAAGCTTGCAGGCATGCCAGAAGGCATGTTAACGAGGAACATACAGACTCACCTGCACTCATGTGGGCAATTGGTCAGGAAGCCGCTGATAGCCTCATTTTTACTTCTTCTCCTGGTTTTACAGTGACTTCTCTTCTGTAAGAGAGGAGATGTTAAGGTGGTGTCTTTTAAAGCGTCTTCCTTCCTACTTCTTACCTTTGTACATAGAGGTGTAAATGCTGTTGA